AGTTCCGAGGATGGCTTGAGATTGTTTGGGTCGTTGTAGACTGTTTGTGCGATCATGGAACTGTCATATCTGCGGAGGCGGTCAGGAAATTCAATACTAAAGATGAGCGAAGCTTGCATTGACGAAAAGCCGTCAAGGCCGATAAAGAAGCACTTTGGGGCGCGGACCTGAATGTCTCCCTCTCGCGACGACCCTCAGAGACGGCCTTGGCCGGCGGAGTGTTGACCATGGCCGGGCAGCGTGAATTTTATATCACGAGAGACCGGCCGCTCCTCTGTCGGTTCTACTTGGTTGCGCAATATGGGTCGAAGCACGCCTTGATATCCGCGGGGGAGATATCATTGACCTACAGTTTTCATGTCAACTTGAGCTAATATTTGCGCGACCAAGAACAATTCCGAGAGATGAATGATGCCGGAACATTTTGCGACCGAGATGCACTTGTCTGTGGCTATCAAGGAAGGCAGGGGGGGAATGAAGAACATCTAGACCAACCGGACGCAAGTGGGGGGATGAGGTTGAAAATACACACAGTGCCCCTCCCTCTTCCCGCGATGGACTGGCTCAAAAAGGCCTTCGTGGGCATGCATCCCTGCGTCACCAGGCATATGGTGAGTTGCTCAAGACAAGCGGCTGGAGACAGGCAAGAGTACAAGAGGTGTACAGAGCACAACTATATGGAAGGTAAGGCTGATAGAGGGGCATGAAGGATTGCCAAGGCCAACGCAAGAGAACAGTGGGAAAAGGCGAAGGAATGGGAACAAGCAGGTGTACCAAGATTGGTAGAATGGGCAGAAGATAGGGATACACTCACAGGCAGGCAGCCGTCACCGCAGATGATTGCTTGTTGGGAGAGGAACGTCGCAAATGTCGCAGCCTGTCTAGAACATGGCGGGCGGAGGTGGGAGGAGTAGTGGAAAGGAATATGGCAAATGAGAAGATGGCAAACGTGAAGATTGCGATGGAAACGACGATGCGCTGGACGTTGAAAATGATGTATCGTTCAGATCGCTCTCTGTCTCTCTCTCTCTTTCTCTCGGTTGGGCTGGGCTAGGGCGGGGGGGGCTCAGGTCGGATGCCGAAGAGGGCTGGCTCGAGTGATGTGGGAGGTTCGCTTGAGGTGAGGAAGGGAGGCGAAACCAGGCGAATTACCCAAGGGCTAGGCGCAGGAAGAACTCGCCGCAGATCGATCTCCCCCGGTTCAAGATTGCGGGAAGAGGTTGGCAGAGGAAGTCAAGCATGGAATAGAACCAAAGCAAAAGCGCAAAGACTGGAATCGGCAAATTGCTGGGGCCAAGTTCCTTGGTGGCGATTGACGCGGGATGGGTGAGGTAAGTGGTTGACCTCAGAGACTGGACGACGGGATGGAGGGAGCTGAGTACAGATAGAGTAGGTAGAGACTAGAGAGCAGGCACGCAAGACACGAGCAGAATGCTCCTGCCAGAGCAGCAAGCAAGCACGACACGGGCCGCCAGGCGAGCAGAGAAGGAAGGTTGAGGTGAGCGATTGACAAGGCCACTGGCCAGGTCCAGACCCACGGTGGAGCCTACTCCGCATCGGGTTGCTCTCCTGGCTCTCTCATTGGCTTTTCATTACAGTGCGAATGCTTTGGGGAGTACTTGTGCGAAACCTTGGCCTTTGGCATCTGGTCCCAATGGAAATTTCAGATGGCCACACTGGAATTCGCAAAATGTCGGACCGAAATTGGCATAGTGCCATTCAACATCCCCCCCCAATGCCCTGCATCAGCTGTACTGCAGCACAGTGTTTTCTAGAAATCGATGGGTACCGGGAATAGCCATCCGTGCCATCCTGCTGCTGGTTTCCTTACCTAAGCTAGTCGATAACGAGATTCCAGAATTTCGATGCGCACCTCACCGAATTGCCACTTTGGCCCGATTTAATGGCGTCACATACGTCACTACGGAAGGCACTCCACAGTTGTCCATCGGCAAAAGCCATCATTCTCTCGATCCTGCTTTTTCTCTTGTTCTCTTTGTTTTGACTTGTTACCGTCCTTTCGTCCCCTCACGATTGGTCTTATCTTTCCCCCACGGTAGGTGGTGGCAGAATGCAGCATCTACGTTTTCCAATACCCTCCCTACCTTACCCGTCTCTCTACTTGCACCAGCACTCCCCCTTGTGACACGCTCTGTAGACCTAGGCCTAGGCCCTTCGTTCTGTCGTACCTCACAGGCTAAGTCAATACACCCTGGCCACATCCGGTCTAGGGGCGGGGTTTGATTTAAAACACCTCTGGAATTGGATCCATCTCTGAGCTATATACACTCAAATTGGAATTTTCCTCGGCGTTGGAAACTACCTACTTTTTCTGCAAATCTGTGGTTACGAGCTGCAAAAAAAGGAACGAGGTACTGGGACTGCTTTGATGCATGTTTAGAACTATTGTTGTATGCGGTACATGCCATGCGTATGTGAGGGCGTGGTGTGCTCGTGGTGACTCTCATGCATAAAAAGAAACGTACCGTAACAAACGGAGATAAAGACAGGAAATAGCCATGTATGCAGCCAGCCGCCAGCAGGAATACCAGACTTTCCTACTGGGCACATGCTGGGCGGCGGGCTTTGTTCAGTATCACTGTAACAGTACTCCAAAAAAGGGCCCCGCGATGCCTGCGCTGGCAATTTGGGCGCTGTTTTTGATGGCATCTGATTGGATGACGGGCGGAAAAGACTCCGGACCAGCCAAACTGCAAAAGCACAAAGATCTGCTCGTGGGGTCGTCGCGTCGCCGAGTCCACTGCAAGCTTCACAAAATGATAGAGCAGGTACGGATAGAACTTCGCCGTGACTCGTCCCTTACAGCCCAAAGGCTACCCATGCAGCAACGACAATGAGAGAAATGCCTAATGGAAATGCAACATTGAACATATTCGTGGATGCTCTTCGGAATAGACTCCTGCCACAAGACTTTCCCGTAACCTAAGCACCCAATGAGGGTACTTCCAAACATGCAGGGAAAGGGCCAGGGCCGATGGCTGTGGACCATGATCTGGACCAAGCCTCCCGTCACGTGCATATACCGCTGGCGTTGCATCGACCCGCGTCTTTGATACAGCCAATCAAAAAAGAGGCTGGCTGGACCGGGGCCAAGCAGGAAGATCAGATCCTCTCCAGATCTGGGTGCACAGACCACGTGCCATTTCTCGAATGCCTTACGTACCTTACCTAATCACACAAGAAATTTGCCTTATCGCTATCAGTACTCTCATCTGTTATCTAACCGCCCAGGCTTCCAATTTCCATTTATTTCGGCAAGTGACGATTCCCAACAACAACAACAACAACTCGACAAAATAACAAACGGACGATACTCAGGACTACCAGCTTGTCCTCTGCTATGATAATTCCATCAGTCACGGGTCGGAAGTATCGCAATTGCCTCGAGCGAACAGCGGCGGAAGTAACAGTGCAAAGCTGCTCTGAAGATGTTCTCGTGCCACGGCGGTTCTGTCGAATGTCGGCTGTTTATTCGTCTTTGCTTCTTCGCTTCGACTTTGTCTCCGATCCACAAGTTGCTCAGCCTTGCTCAACCACATCTGAGCGACAGGTTTTTCCAGTGATATCGATGCTCTTCTCTTGTTGTCTTCAGTGTCTAACCATACCGAGGCAGTGCTGTTTGATAACCGGTGGCGACCGATCGCTCGAATGATAAAGGCTCAGCCTTCAACTCGAGTTTCGGCCGTGGAGGACCCTTTGTCTGCTGACAACCCCCGGGTGGCGTCTTGAGGACCTGGCTGTTTTCACCTCAATTCTGTACCGCAGCGGGAGAGGCTGCGGGTGGAGCATGTCGGCGTCCCGGTGCCGCGTGATCGACAGTATCGAAAGCATAGACAGTCGTTGCGATGAAGATCTCGCCGTTGGCAAGCCCGCCCGGGCCACGCACTCCGGGACCGAAGGATGCTGCTGCTGTCCGAACAAGATGATGGACACCAAGGTGGGCCTGTCAGACTACCGCCATGACCTTTGCCCATGGTCAAACTCACCATCCAAAAACCTGCATGTCCCGTGGGCGATGCAAGTCTTGGAAGTACTGCAAGTGCAGCAACTGCACGCGATTCGGCGGGGAATATACGCATTAGGTCCATGGAGAGCCTTGGTCGTTATCTTCGTGACGGTGCACGCTTGATCGGCGGTGCGGCACTACCTGCAAGTGTGAGATCATTACTGAAGACTTTCTGTTTGCAAATTTTGACTCAACGCCAATGCAGTGTGTTGGCGATGGACGACAATAGTCTCGGTGAAGGAAAGCAATAGTCTTGAACGGGACTTGCCGGTTATCGTATTCGCTGACTACGTCGGTATAGCATGGGAGCAACGTCAGCGACGCTGATGGACCAACCATCCGAGCAACGCGTGGCATGCAGCGGCCGCCTTCGTCAACATCCACGACTGCTTCGAAGCGCTTCTGCCTACAAACGAAGACGAGAGAGGGAGCAGTCATTCCCGCATCATTCGCCTCAAGAAGTTGCGTGACGCCTACGGTTCGATAATTGGATTTCGCATCACGAGATGCACGCCCCGCGTTGGGCCAGAAATAATCCGAAACAGTTTTGGGCCCCAAAGTGGCCTTTTTCGATACTGAAGGCGAACAACGGCCCTCAGCCACACCGGTGATGTCAATCACTCCATTCACCCTCCTCTCCCAGAGACAGAGACAGAGGCAGAAGGATGGAAAAAGAGAGTAAGAGAGTTCGGATTCGGGCCCGTCGGGTGCAAAGCAAGGACTTTTTTACCCTTTCGATCCACCGCGGGGACTGCATACGCATAGTTCAGATTGCTTGTCATGCTTTCGGATGAAGTCATTCGGCATCTTCCGCGGTGGGGGGCAATTGAGCTCGTCTTCCCAAGGGTCTCCGGGGTAGAGCGGAAGGGTCCCCGACGGAGGAAGACAGGGACGGAGAGTGATCCCCACCCGGCCGTTCTCCAGCGGGGCCAGGCCCGGTGATGCCCATGAGCAAGTCGTCCCGTTGCTCAGGATGGGAAGTCCGCTTGGCGGAGGAGCGCCGGTCTCGACGTGCGACACGCCGATCACAACGCCAATTGCTGTCGAGGTTTTAGACCTGGCTCTTAGCCCCACGCAAGCCATGCACCACTTACACCACTGTCAATCCATATCGCCACGTCTCACCTCCCGCGACGGCTTCGCAATGGCGCGATTACCGAACCTTCTAACGCGCCTAGGGCGCTGATCGATCATGCCGATCAGCAACTTCTCAAACGGTAGTCAACCACTCAACTTTCTGGCATTCACACTCAGCGCCCTGCTTGAACGAAAAGAATAAGCAAAACACGAAGCACACAATCTCAGTATCCGAAGTCAAGCGGCGAATCTTATCTCGGAGATGGAATGGTCTCCCACTATCTCCAATGACCCCGATTGACGTGGAGTAGGAGAACCCTTACAGGTCTCACAAACCCTTATGCGATCGACGAATTGTCTTACCTCGGCGAGAACAAGCAACACGAGCTCGACGAGGCCACTCAATTGGCTCTGAAAGGCTTCACTCCATCTCAACGTACCTTTGCTGTTGACATCTCGTAGGATTGTCCCTCCAGGCTCAACATCCTCCCGCAGTCTTTCATCCCTTTCCGCTGCATTAGACCCCGCTCAGATCGCGGTTGCATGCATCACAATAGTCGCCAGGGTTGGTGGAAGAGCATGCAATAAGCAATAAGCAGAATCCAATAACTCCCCTCCGGCAGCAAAACGGCTCGCACCAGCAATCAAGCATCACCCTGCAGTCTGATGTACGGAATTTCACGCACTCGTTCATTTCCGTGATAACAATCAACGCCGTCCGACCATCCCCCAGATATCTCATCTGGATTTAGCGGACCAAAGACGTGCATGAATATGGATACTCTTCCGCGACTGGTCCTGTGCTCGGGATCCTTTTGCGCACCGAACTCATCCCATTTCAAACGACCTAATGAGCGATTGGACTCAACCGACGGATGCGTGCGTGAGAGCTCGACACGTTGTTCTCCTCCTTCTCGGCTACCTGCACCTCTATCATTCCTCCTCCTCTGTGTCACTCTCAGACTCGGCCAAGTTGTTGTTATTGACGGTTGCTAGTGGAAGGATTGAGGGGTAATCTTTCCTTTTTCACCTTCCCCTCACTATCTGACTCCGAGCCTTAATAGAACTCAAACAAGTTGAGACGAAGGCTTATGTACGAGCACAGATGGACCAGTGAATGAGCGCGAGACCAGTGTGGCCATGAGGCAGGGGCCCGTGCCAGCGTCTCTATGGGCTTTCTTTGTTGGGGTGATCTACCCTATCTGGCCTTTCTCGCGCTTTTTCCTCTGTGCCATTCCCTCCCGGAATCTCACCCACACCCCGCGTGCCGGCGGCGCTTTCAGCTGACAAGCATGACACCTCTAGGCATCGTTTCCGCGGGGATTTTGTGATATTTTTCTCAGCGTCGGATACCCACTGCTTTTATTTTGGACCTAGAGGCTTTCATGATGAGACGATGTGGCGCGCTGCTGTCTCACCCAACGTTCCTGGGTCGCCTTTGTCTCAATGGCCGCACTAGCAGCGGCCCATAACGGTCCAGGCCAGCTATCCAGTCAGCTCTATCTCTCATACAATTCGTCTGTCATTCCTCCTGCCGACTGCCCCTTGCTTCCACTGCAGTGCAAGGCGAAAAAAGAAGCAGGGCTATAGAAAGCGATGGGAAAGGGTGGGAGGGGCCAGTCAATTGGGCTGGGGAGAGAGTGAGGCGCTTTCTGGCGCCCCAGCCAGTCGGTACCGAGCCTGTGCTGCTGAGCAAACCGCCGATCTCCCGATGTCGACCATGGCACGGCAAAGCAAGGTTGCGAGGAGGGGTTTGCCATGACGAACATTGAATGGCAAACGAGCAAAGTGGCCGGTCGATGGTTCCCTTCTCGAATAGCGCCAGCGCGTAGTGAGCCTACCAGTCGACAAGTCATCGACACAAGCGTCTCCGGCTACCAGGAACTATCGACCGGGCCCGAAAGTGAATGGGCGTCGAGGGCAAAATAGCATCTTCTCGGGAACCTGCAAACTCTCTCAACTCACCATAGCAGGGACCTCGTTGCTACAGTCACCGTCTCAACTTATTTGCATCTGGAGCATCTCAGCTGCGAGCGAATCGCAGGGTCAAGGACGATGAAAAAAGTTCAGCTTACCGCCCGAAGAACCAATACTCATCGCCAATCAAACGGCTGCGCCGCCATCCCTTCCCCTTACTGGGTTATCTTCCGTGGACGCCTGTTTACCTACGGCAAATCGCGTCGCGATCGGTGAGCTTGGTGGGTTAGCTTGGACACCTGCTGCCCAGCTGGCCGGCCCAGAACAGCGCCACCAGTCGACTTAGTCATTCAGCTTGGCTTGATGGCTGGCGCGCTGCTTGGTCTTTGCGCCGTTGGTTACTGGTGCTTTAGCTTGAGCTACTCTGATATCAGTCTAGACTGAGCCGCCCAGACCACGCGGCACTTCTCGTCGGGTACAGCCCCCCCCCCCCCCTTTCCCTCCTCTGAGTCTTCCCCCTATTGTTGCAGGCAGTCTTAGGCAGAGTCTCTGTATTGGGTTTGGGGGTTGGATGGCTACATATGCATACGAGCGAACCATTGAGTTCACCATTGATGCGCATAAATTCGTTAACTCGCCGTGTCTGCGAGTGAAGACTTTGTGAGGGCGTTCACCCACCCTCAGCCTCCTTAAGTTAGGTGGTGACGATGCAGAGATGCTTGGCACAAGGCTATGCTTGCTCATTTGCCCCTTATTTTCACTTCTTCAAGACCGTTAGGTTCGTTAATCACCCCCAATCAGGATTTCTTGGCCGTCCTCACCCCGCAGAGATTGTATGCTGATTGTAGAGGGATCATGCCGGGCGGTTCCGTCAGTGCGGCACGATGGGCGCCACAGGACACACACCCTACCTTCGACCAGTCGGGTATCGAGGTTCAGATAGCTGACCGACCATTAACATGCTACGTGAAGCTGCGTGACCTTTAGTTCAATTAGTGGGGGAGCCATTCCAGCCCTACTTGTGCAGGCGACAGCAGGTTACCTAGCAGCCTGCCAGCGGATGCTGTGCCACCTCATCGACCCTCACAAGCACAGAGAGGACAACTGGGGAGGAGGCGCTGATGCATGGACTCACGCATGTCTGCTGACGCTAGCACCGCGCAAGCACGGAGAAGCCACCACCGCCATTCGGTCGCGGGATTGTTGTTATGGATGATACCCGTACCCGTCTTGGAAGAAAAGGGTTTGCTCGAAGCTTGCTTAGAGGGGGGGTGGGGGGGTGAGCGAGGTGTGTATTCAGATACCAATACCAGGGACCCTCAATGTCTCACACCCTGTGCACGTGGCGTTCATCTATCTGAGCCTCCGAGGTGGCCACAAGGGACCCAAGAAGGTTCAAGCAACGCAGGGAGAGGGGAGGCAAGTAGTGGGAACACCCATCTCGCCAAACTTCCCAGAGTAGATATATGACCCTCGCCCGCTTCGCACCACTTTCCATAGTGAGAGAGGTTCCCCATCATCGATCAAACAAATTCTACGGACAACCGACTACTTCTTACACAGTCCTGCCCGTTCTGGACGACAATTCCACTTCCATTCTCAGGACGTCCGGTTTCATCGACACTTACACCATCCTACCTCAACACTTATATACGACTACCACCAAGATCTCAGCAACCATGCTGTGTATCCTCCCAGATGAGCTTCTGCTCATCACAGGCGTCACTGGCCACGTCGGGTTCGCCGTTCTCACTCACGCCCTGAAGGCAGGCCACACCGTCCGCTGTGCCGTCCGCTCAGAGGCAAAGGCTGCCTTCATCCGCTCGCGACCTCAGATCCGCGCACTTGACCTACCCCGCGCGAGACTCAACTTCACCATCGTACCAGATATCACCACCGATGGTGCCTACGACGATGCCATCCGCGGCGTCTCTGCAGTCATTCACGTTGCTTCACCACTTGCGACCGCCGACTCAGTACCTCGCGATCTGCACCAGGAGTACTTCATTCAGCCCGCCGTCCGCGGCACCCTCGGTATGCTCGAGGCCGCCAAGCGTGCGGGCACTGTTCGCAGGGTCGTCATCACGAGCTCAGTAGTTGCCCTTACTTCAGTAGACCACCTCGAGGGTCGCGAGCGCAAGGAGGCTGTCCAGCCCACGGAGAGGACCGGCTTCAAGCCTGAGCCGTATGAGAGCGAGTTCGCCGCCTACGCCGCCTCCAAGGTGGCCGCTCTCAAGGGCGCCGAGGCGTGGATTGCGAGAGAGCAGCCCGGCTTCGAGGTCATTCACCTCCACCCTTCCTTCGTCATCGGCCGCAACGATATCGCGACCACGGCGAGCGAGGCGATGAAGGGCACCAACGCCGTCATCCTCGCCACCCTCCGCGGCAAGAAGATGGGCTGCAGCTACCCCGGCGCGACAGTCCATGTCGACGACGTCGCCCGAGCACATGTCCAGGCTCTTCTGCCCACCGTCCCGGGCAACAAGGGCTACATCCTCAGCACCAAGTCCCGCTGGAACGACGCGAAGCTCATTGCCAAGAGGAGCTTCCCCGAGGCCGTCGAGAGGAAGCTGATTGTGAGCAGCGGCTCCGTGGGCACGATCAACATTGACTTTGACGCCTCTGCTTCCGAGGAGGTGTTTGGCTTTAAGCTGCAGGGTTTTGAGGAGCAGGTGCGCAGTGTTGTTGGGCACTTTGTCGAGCTGAGACTGAGACGCCCTGCACTACCGACGGTTTCTTCGTCTTCGATGGCGGTGAACCAGCATTTGAGGTCCGAGGTTGTGGCCGCATAGAGAGTTTCACGGCCTGCTTGACGACTTTTACGAGCATTTTCTCTTCTCTTTCTACTTTCCATGTTGGACATTGGACAGGTCAACAGACTGCATCGGGGTACAAGACATTTCACTTCAATGGGGGAGACGGCCGACTGTATCAGCCAGTCAAGGCGCATGGAATTGGAGAACACATTTTCATCAGCATTCATGGGAGACTGGGAGAGACTGGGAAAAAACGCAGCATTCGATTCACAACGGGATACCCAGCGGATTAGCCTCCGCACCAATTTTCTTTAGTGTATATACTTTTGGGTTTTTCTAAAATCCACAACAAGAAATTTTTAGAAGTCATCCATCGTCCCATCCGTCTTACATGTTCGTGTTCCTCTTCCGCTTGTGTCTGCTTCAACCCACACCCACGCGTTCACGCTTACTCACCCTTCCGCGTCCCACGCCCGCTCCCACGGGAAGGGGTGAGGTAGGGAGCCGTGGGAGCGCAGTGAGGGGGGAATTGGGGGGCTGAATCACGGCCGAAAAGGTCTGAGGGATTTCCCTCACCATTGGGCCCATGGGAGTAAGGACCATGGTCCAGAGACCATGGACCACCAGCTGAACTGCTGAAGGGTGAAGGAAAAAGGGCGGCAGGCCCAGCCCCAGAGGGCACCGGGCGCGCCGTTCAGCCTCAATCTCCGACGGTATGATAGGCTCATTTCTCTTAGGCGGTTCTCAATTCTTTTCTATGCGCTATGCAGCCTTGGGAT